AGGGGGGAGGTCTGGGGGGCGGGGTGCATCCTGGGTTCCCTTGCATCGTCCCTGTGTGAAGAGTCTGTGGGGTGTGTCCTGGGTCCCCTCACCCCCAATGGGGAGGGTCCATGAGACTTTGCGGGGGGTCCATGGGGTCCCCTCTCACTCAGCCCCGTTGCAGAAGGACGAGGTGTACCTGAACCTGGTGCTGGACTTCGTGCCCGAGACGGTGTACCGCGTGGCACGCCACTTCACCAAGGCCAAGCAGCCCATCCCCGTCATCTATGTCAAGGTGAGCCAGGAGCCAGCCACGCAGAGGTGGGGGGCTGTGGCAGGCGCCCCCGGGCTGGCTGTGACCGTCTCCCCCTTCCTGCCAGGTGTACATGTACCAGCTCTTCCGCAGCCTGGCCTACATCCATTCCCAGGGGGTCTGTCACCGCGACATCAAACCCCAGAACCTGCTGGTGGACCCCGACACCGCCGTGCTCAAGCTGTGCGACTTCGGCAGGTGGGAGCTGGGGCCCCCTGGTGCGAGAGCCGTGCAGAGGGAGGGTCCCCTGGTGCGAGAGCTGTGCAAAGGGGGAAGGGGTGGGCTCGTGGGACAGTCTCTCCCTGAGCAGCACGGGCCTTCATGTGACTGGCGAGACGTATGGGGAGGGGTGTCCGCCAGGCAGAGGGCTCGGGCAGCAGGTGTAATGGTTGGCCCCACACATGGACCGAGGGCCGACACGGGGTCTGACCTGGCCACAGCGCACCCGTCTGGCCGAGGGGCAGGGGGTCTGGACTGGCGCAGGGGGCAGGGCTGGCCCACTCACCATGGGCGGTTGGTCTTGCAGTGCCAAGCAGCTGGTGCAGGGCGAGCCCAACGTCTCCTACATCTGCTCCCGCTATTACCGCGCCCCTGAGCTCATTTTCGGGGCCACCGACTACACATCCAACATAGGTGAGCTCCCACCCCCTCCGTCACCTCTGCCCCCACGCACAGCGAGGGGGAGAGAACCCAGGAGTCCTGACTGTCCCCTGTCCCTCCCCAGATATCTGGTCAGCGGGCTGCGTCCTGGCTGAGCTGCTGCTGGGTCAGCCCATCTTCCCTGGGGACAGCGGAGTGGACCAGCTGGTGGAAATCATCAAGGTAGGAGATGCCCATCCCTGCTCTAACCCATGAGACCCCACCCCCCTCCCAGAGCCAGAGAGAACCCAGGAGTCCTGGCTCCCAGCCCCCCCTGCT